CTGCATCCAGATTAGAGCTGGCTTCCCAGGGGCGTTGTCAAGTAGGTCTGTCCAGATGAGGGCAGCCAACAGATAATTATACTGCAGTGTGATAAGGGCTTTAATAAGAGATGAACAAAGGGCTTCTAGAGACTTCCTTTGTTATTAAAACTCTCCTCCTTTGATACACAGGGTTTATATGCAATTATTCTTTCACTCATGTCAAGAGCGTTCATTTCATAAGCCAAAGTTACAAACCTTTTTACTAGGTTCACACACATCAGTTCTTTTATTCTGAAATCAGCTTTAATTCAGTGCTATAATCACTTACTGTATAGTATAATCCCTTTTAACACAGAGCATCCAAACAGCATGATTTCACGCCACCGCTAACACTGTTTTCTGCCAGTACCCTTATTCCTTTCCATGCCATGTCTGAAATGTCCCTGCCCAGATAATTCATTTTTAGTTCCTGGGCCGTTTCTTTGTTCTCCCTTTTTTGAGGTAGGACTTCAGAGCAATAGAAGACAGGGGAACCTTTTTAAACCGTTTTTAGTGGAAAATTTTAAACAGACAAAAGTAGGATGAATAGTATAATGAATCCCCATGTACCCATCATCTGGTTTCAACAAGTGCCAACTCACGGTCAATCTTATTTGGCCATACATCTATCAATTCCCCATCTCTTCTCCCGTTTTATTTTGAAGTAAATCTAAGACATCCTATTATTTCATCCATAAATATTTAGATTACGTATCTATAAAAGATAATAGAGACTTATAAAAACATGACCACAATATCATAATCACACCTAAAAAATTAACTGTTTAATATCAAATATACATCAGTGTTTGAATATCAAATTGTATTATAAATATAACTTTTTTTCAGTTTGTTTAAATCAGATTGAAGTAAGATTTACTTACTGCAGTTGACGTCTCTTGAGTGTGTTTTACAGATTCCTACTTCATCTCCCTCCCTTTTTTTCTTTGCTGTTTATTTTTTGAAGAATCTTTATCCTATAGTTTCTCCCTGTCTGGATTTTGCTGATTGTATCTCCATAGTGTCATTTAACATGTTGCTCTGTCCCTCTGTTTTCTGTGAATTGGTGGTTGGATCTAAAGGGTTGGTCAGATTCAGGTTTGGTTTTTTCTTTCTTTTTTTT